GCCAAGGTGATTATCTGAGGCATTTGCTTTCCCCCACTCCCTTTCTGCTGGCAACTAAAAGACCAAAGGAGTATTTTTTAATTGACACAACCCACAAATAGTTACAGACAGTCCTCGACTTACAATGGTTCGTTCAGTGACCGCTCAACGTTACAATGGCGCTGGAAAAAGGGGCCACCAGCCTTCGGATTTATCACCATTGCAGTGGCTACTTCACCAGAATTAGTTCACTTGGCAACCAACATGTATTGATAACAATAGCCATAGCACTTAGACTTACGTACCGCTTCACTGTGCTTTTACAGCCCTCTCTCAGCGGTTTACAGAGTCAGCCTACTGTCCCCAACAGTCTGGGTCCTTATTTTACTGACCTCAGAAGGATGGAAGGCTGATTCAACCTTGAGGCTGGTGAGATTCAAACTGCCAAATTGCAGTCAGCCGGCAGTCAGCCGAAATAGCCTGCAGTACTGCATTCTAACCACTGCGCCACCATGGCTCTATAATCTATATTGATCGTAGTCACATAAACGTCATTTATGGCGTCTCTGGCTGGTTTCTGACAAGCCAAGTAAATTGGGGGAAAACCCAATTCACTTAACGACTGGGTTATCTAATTTAACAACTGCAGTGATTCACTTAACAAATGTGTTAGTCGTAAAATCGGGCAAAACTCAAATTTCTCACATAATAACATAAATTTGGGGCTCAATTGTAATCCTAAATTGAGGACAATCTGCATTAGTTGCCTTGTAGCTTGGCAATTTTGTGAGAGAATCCAAGCCTTAAAAAACACACAGTCCCAAGTTCAGGGCCTTTCTACTTCCTGGTTTGGCTTTGTAGGGGAACTTACAATAATTCAGCTGATGTTAGACAATGACTCTCATTGCTTGACCATTGGTCACAGGGCTAGCAATCCTAGGATAGATAGACTGTTGTAAGTCGAGGACCAGCTGAACTTCTATTACTAATAGAAGACTAAAAGTAAAGTATTACACTTAGGCAAGAAAAACCAAAAATACACAGTATAGACTGGGTGAAACCAGGCTCAAAAGCAGTAACTGTGAGAGGGATCTTGGAGTCTTAGTGGACAACCAGCTAAATATGAGCCAGCAGTGTGCAGCAGCAGCCAAGAAAGCTAATGCAATCCTAAATTGTATTAACAGAGGGATACAATCGAGATCAATACCACTCTATAAAGCCTTAGTAAGAACACACCCAGAGTATTGCATCCAGTTTTGTTCACCACATTATAAAAAAGATGTTGAGACTCTAGTAAAAGTACAGAGAAGAGCAACTAGGAGGATTAGGGGACTGGAGACTAAAACCTATGAAGAACAGTTACAGGAACTGGGCATGGCTAGTCTTGTGAAGAGAAGGACCAGGGGATACAGGATAGCAGTCTTCCAATATTTGAGGGGATGCCACAGAGAGGAAGGGGACAAGCTATTTTCTAAAGCACCCAAAAGCCAGACAAGGAATAATGGATGGAAACTGAACAAGGAGATTCAACCTGGAAATAAGGAGAAACTTTCTGACAGTGAGAACGATCAACCAATGGAACAGCTTTGCCTTCAGAAGTTGTGGGAGCTTCATCACTGGAGGCTTTCAAGAGACTGGACTGCCATCTCAGTAATGGTGTAGGGTTTTCTGCTTGGGTGGCAGGGTTGGACTAGATAACCTACAAGGTCCCTTCCAACTCTGGTATTCTGTTCTGTTAAATCTGTCCTACCCAATTGCTCACTTCACCTTAGATCAGAGGTCTCCAAACTTGGCAACTTCTAAGACTTGTGGACTTCCAACTCCCAGAATTCTGCAACCAGCAGAAAAGTTGCCAAGTTTGGAGACCCCTGCCTTAGATGAAGGCAAACATTTCACCTGCTAGTGAAATTCATTCTGGTTCATCAAAACATGAGCTGTCTTTCAGAAAACACTGCTTTTGAGTGGCTTTATTAAACATTTGCATTTGGAGTCATTTCACTACAGTTGATGTTGTGTTGATGTTAGCTCTGGTGCAGGCAACGGCTCCGGGCGTACATCAAATCCCTCTCCAAAGTAAAGCTTGGTTTGATTTCATTTCTAGGCTAATATTTTCCAATTCCCAGGCCTCATTGTTTCCTTTGGTGTCCTTACTCACAGGTGCCTGTCAAAATGATAAAAATGGCTTCGGCTACGACCTCACCCGGTGATGCCCGAATCTTGGACTCAAACTGGATCAGCAGAGAAACCAGCCTTTTTTTTCCCTTCTAACTCCACGCTGGCGGTTCTTGTCCTTAGAAGCTCCAATTAATTCCCTTTATTTATGCTAGCGGGCACGGCTTATTAATTGAAAACAAAACACAGCAGATTGCAACTCTGCTGGTTTAATTAAGAACAAAGGCTGCCTTCAAAATCCCACCAAAACTTCCAGATGCTCAACCCTAACAGCTCATGGCATCCATCCAGAGTTAAGCTTTTTTTTTTTATAGCTGCTTTAGCGGGATGAGAGAAACATTGTTTGAGAGACTTTTGGGGAGTTTAATCTCGTGATGGGGTGGGGAATTGGTGATTTGGTATATTCTGCAAGTTTGACCCCTTTGGTTCTGATGGAGCTGCAAAATTGATTCAAGGATCCAGGTTAAGCCAACAAGAGTTTTGATACCTCTTTTAATTTTCTCCCAATTGCATTTCCTTGCGGAAACGCACACATGCTATTCACGTGAGGCATCCATGCCTCTTTCCCATCTTTTTCAAATTCCTTTCTGGTGAGTTGTATAAACTGACTACGTTGCGCTAAGAGGCAATTCAGAGACCTCTGGCCTCCTCAGTGCCTTCCAGAAGGATGGGTGGGATTACAATTCACAAAAATCCCAGCCATCCTGCGGAAGATTACGCTAAAGGAATTGCTTGTGTGGCTACATTCCTTCTTTGGGTTTGAAAGGACTCCATTCTTACTAAGATCTATCTTTTATGCATATTTTTATTGGTTATTGAACACTGAATTTTAATCAGGAAGTTTCCCCGTTCCTGTTTTTCCCCAATCACACTAGAATTCATTGTTAGTAGTTTTTTAGACTTACTAAATCATTTGAGAGAGAGAGAGAAAGAGACCAAGAAGTCAATTTATGCCTATGAATTATGAAGGCAAACATCCTTTGAGTTGTGATGGGCTTGTTACCATGGTGGGCTATTTTTGTTCTATTTTAACATTGTTTTTAACTCTTTTAAACTGCCTAAAGCCAAGTGTGAGTGAGCAGCCATAAAAATGGAAATTAGAAATACAAGTAAATAAATAAATTTGCTGGATTTAACAAGATTGCATTATTCATGTTATTATTAACCATAGAATTGTTATTGCTGGGTTTGTTGAGAATTCTTGATGTTGTAGTCCTAGTATTTTAAATCACCAGATAAAGGTTATTTTAGATAGTGATTTGCAACTGTTCTCTTCAACTGTAAGCAATTGTCTACATTATTCTTCTCAAGATGTACCTTTTTGGTGTGCAAGACTTCAACTCCCATAATCCAATAGGATGTCTTGGCTAATGCTACTATAATTAGTCACATATAGCACATAAATAGCCTAAGAATAGAGGTTGTATTCACACAACAAACCACAAACCAGTTAACAAGCCACAATAGCTGCATTTATGTTACGGTATGTGTTAAGTCAAATCAAGCGCATAATGTGCTGGTTATGTTAAAAATCTAATGAAATTTACTTGATTTGGGCTTTTTCACGGTAGTTTGTAAACTATGAGTTATGATGTACTTAAGCAATTCCCAAATTTTCCAGAGTTAGCACAATTGTTAGAGTGCAATATTGCAGGCTAACTCTGCTGACTGCCAGACGTTCGATCCTGACTGCCTCAAAGTTGACTCAGCCTTCCATCCTTCCAAGGTCGATAAAATGAGGACCCAGATTGTTGAGGGCAACATGCTGACTGTAAACCGCTTAGTGAGGGCTGTAAAGCAATGTAAAGTGGTATATAAGTCTACATGTTATTGGTATCTTCTGAGGAACACCAACAAAACAGGACACTAAAATTACTTAATTTTTTTAAAAAATGTTGACTGAATCTTGTAGGATCATCAAATCTCAAGAGGTTTTAGTGTTCCAACCAAAATCTCTTGCAATTTTGGGTAGAAGACAGTCTTGTGAGATTTTGGACTCTTTTGTTCATCTTTTTTATTTTGGGGCCCACCCTGGGACCATTTGCAATGTCTTCATGGATGGTCCTGAGATCACAGATTTAGTTCTACCGTCTTGAGCACAGGCTATACTGCTCCTGAATAAGAAGTTTTAAAAACAGCATTTCTTTCCACTTCAGCATTTCTTTCCACTTCATCTAGCTGAAAAAGGTCACCTTCAATTAGGACAAAATCTCAGGAGCCGCATTAGATCTGTTGAATCCAAATCAAGCTTTTCTTCAAAATAACTACGGTATTATTTGGAATATTCCAAGTTACGGCTTGACAAATGGCAAGTGCCTGTGTATCATCAGACCGCCCCAAGATTTAGCACAGCCAACCTTTGATTTATTGCAGTTTGCTGTTTGTTCCCAACACTGAATTAATTTTATTGTACTATATTGTGTCTTGACTATATAGATATAGTCCTCAACTTCCAACTGCAATTGAGCCTGCAATTACGGTCTTAAGTTGCGATGGTCATTAAGGAGGTTATCATGTGACCACACCCGATTTCTCTGTTCTTGACAATTACATCAACTGCAGCAGTCACAAAGCAAACACTGTGCTTGTTAAACAACACCATCGTTCACTAGGGAGGGGTTTTTTGTTTGTTTTTGGGGGGCAGAAACCGGAAGTACATGCCCGGTTTGAGGGGAAAGAAAAAACATTGCAAATAGAAGCCATGTGGACTTCAACCCTCCCCGAGTTGCCCTTGTGCTGGCTGAGGAATTCTGGGAGTTGAAGGTCATGGGACTTCAAGATATCAAGTTTGAGAAAGACCGCCTTAAAAGAGCTCCCGGAAGGACAGAAGCGATCGTGGAGATAAATACGCACATACGCAGCCCTGCTACAAAGACTGAGGAAAAGGCACCACGTTTGTGTGGGGTGGGAGATGAACTTTTGAGGGTTTTTATTAAAAGCAGGAAGGTCTTGGGAACACGGACTGGATAACGTCTCTTCACTCCTCACACACCTCCCCAAGATCAAAACTCTCTTTTCTCCTTCCACCCCGCCCCCCACCCCCAAGAAGGGGCGTCTAGAAAGAGGAAAGAAAGCCCTCGGGGTCACCCACCATCCGGGGTGGGTGGGGGAGGAAAATCCAAGGCAGAAGAGAAGAAGTACATGGAATATTTCAAGGAACCCCAAGGCTTGCCACCCCCACGAATCGGTCTGGCCCTCCCTGAATCAGCACCCCCCGTACCTTTCAAACCCGCGTCCCGGAAGGGGCAACGGTTTCCCCTTCTTCCTGGTTTCCTCTCCTCCCCGAAAGACCCTGCCCCAAACACCCTCCCCAGTTGTTCTCCGGGATCTGCCAATGGCCCCCGCTTCCCTGTTATACTGGATATAGGCAGCAGCCACTGAACCCCTCCTCACCCTCGTGTTTCATTCCACCCCCAGTCCCGTAACAGGTCACACCCCTCCCTGCTTTTTTGCAACCCTTGGGGCCCCCGGCTTACGCTTAATTCGGCCTGGGGACAAGCCCTGCCTGCTCACCCTGCCCTTCTCCTCCCGCCCCCCCCTCAAGGCTTCCAGCGCTTTCCATTGGGGCTCCTTGAACCCACAGCTGCAGAGAGGCGACCGATGCCGGCTCTGCAACTTTTTCATCTGGCCGACTGGTCTGGCTCCCACCCTCGCCCTTGGGGAAGGGAGCTTAAAAGTATTCTCCCCAACACTGAAGGGTGCGGGCGGGGGTGGGTGGAAGAAAGGAAGGGTCCTTGCGGGCAGGGCTGACAAGAGACCGGAGACCCCCAAATCCTGCTCTCTCTCTCTCCGCTCGCTTTCCCACCCCCAAATCCATCCTTTGGCCTCCCTTTCTCCATCTTCCACCCCAAGCCCACAAGCCCCTCTCCAGGGAAGACAATCCAAGCAATCTCACTCTGCTTTGAGTCTGCTAGCAGATCCCTTTGGCTCCCTTTTCACCCGTCGGGGTGTGTGTGTGTGGTGGAAGCGTCAAGAGAGAGACAGATCTCCTTTCCTCCCCTTCCCTGCCAGGCCCCCTGCCTGGATGGAAGCAGTCTGGTCCATGATGGGAGACGAATAAGGCTGAGCAGCCCAGGCCCTTTGCTATTGCATGTTCTGGTGGATTGGCCAGCATTTCCTTCCACCACCACCCCGGGGTGGGCTCCTTTCTCCTTCCCCAGGCGATGGCAGGTCCAGAGTTGTCACATACGGGAGAGGGAGGGCTCCGCTAGCAGCTGGGGCATCCCCACGGCAGGGCTCTGAGGCTGAAGTTCACCAAGATCTCCCTGGTCCTTGAAGCAAACCGGGGTAAACCTGGTCCATGGCTCCCTCTGCAGGCTCAGTTGCTGTGGGGTCCGTGGTTCAGCCCGGGAGGAGGGGGGGGGAAACTCCCCCGGAATGGGAAGCGCACTGGCCAAGTCCAAGAAACTGAAATGGAACAATCCACGTGAACAAAACCGGGGGGAGGGGGGAGCAAAGAGATGGAGGCAGGGAGCGGACTGTACCATCTGCTGGGGAGAGTCAGAGCTCTGACCCAGAAGTGAAGAGGGCAACAAGAGTGGCTCGACTTCCATTCCGCTCCTAGGTCCCCTTGCACACGTGGCCGAGTCCAGCCCCCTCCCCACCCGTTTCAAGCCCCACCCCCTTTCTTTGCCGCAAGGTGCTGAGCCCACCGCTCCTCTGCCGAAAACCGGATCCGATTCCTCTCCCCTCCCTCAATCTTCAGGTTGACCGCCCGCGGGTGCCAGCTGCTCCCAGTCGCAGCCCGCCGTGCTCCTGGGTCAGACGTTTGGGGGGGAGGGAAGCGGTGGCGGAGGTCACTGCGGGGAACCCAGATCCGCAGAAAGCCCCTCGAAAGCAGCCAACATGGCTTGGCGCACTCGATCCGTCAGAGCCGGCACGTCGTCGGCTCTCAGCCCCTTCGTGGGCACGGAGGACAAGACCTGGACAATGCAGCGCCCTGCGTACGGAGAGAAAGAGGCAGCTTTTGAAAAGAAAAGAAAAAAAATAGCAAGACAACGAAAAGGCCCCATCAAAGGCTTCAGCAACTCTGGAAAGAGGCATATGCAGTCCAGGGAATGGGGAACGATTGGCCCCCTTATGACGTGTGGACTTCAATTCCCAGAATTCCTCAGCCAGCCATGCTGGCGGTTAAAGTTCACAAGTCATAAAGGAGCCATCATTCCCCACCTCTTCGTGTAGTCCTTGACTTACAACCATCCATTCGAGGTTACAACGGCACTGAAAAAAAAAAAAGCGCCCTTACGACCACTGCCTGCATCCTCATGGCCCCGTGATCAAAATTTGGACTCTTAGCACAACCGACTCATATTTATGACGGCTGCCCTGTCCTGGAGTCACATGATCCCCTTTGGCAGCCTTCTGAGAAACAGAGTCAATGAGGAAGCCAGATTCGCCTCACAACCGTGTTACTAACCTAACAGCTGCAGTCGTTCACTTAACAACTGTGGCAGAAAGGTTGTAGAATGGAGCAATGTTCACTTAACAACGGTCTCGCTTAGCAACAAGAAATTCTGTGGTTGTAAATCGAGGGCCACCGACCTCTTTTGAGGCTGGGCATCTCTTTCGACAGACTGGATTGTTAACTGCTGTTTCCATATTGTGTTTTTTTTAAACTTGTCGCATTTGGATTGTTTTTATACATTTTCCTGGAATCCTTGAGAAGCGGCTAGATTAGAAAGGTCACATAAAATCCAAACAAATCTTTATATTTTAAAAACTTAAACCGAGTTGCCTTCTCTTTCTTGAGCAATTTTGAGCTGTGAGTCAAGGACTCCCCTATATAGCCGCCTCCATTACGCTTGTGGAATAGAAATGCAAATGTAACAAAGGGACCTTTCACCAGTTATGATGGACATGTGATATAAAGCACAGAAATATTGGAGCAGGATTCACATTCTAATACAGAAAATTCTTAAAGTGAACGTAAAGATAAAACCAGAAACTTTTCTTTTAGGTTTAATTGGAAAAGGCTTGGAATTTTTCCCTCCCGGACTTTGATGTTACCTACGTTGACTGTTTTACGCACAAAAAATGGAAGGACGTTTCGATCCCCACAATGAACAAATAACTGCAAAAGTTGAGGGATGGCTACATCTCTGCAAAGTTAGCAGAGACGGCTAAATTGACTGTTAGGATCAAAGAAAAATATACAAATACTTTTATTTCTACTTGGAAACCGCTTCTGGACTTTGTGTTTGAGGTGGGGGGGGGAAAGAAACCTTGATTTGGGGTTTTACCGATTAGACAGATTTTGTTCTTATAGAAATGGCCAGTTTATATTATTATATTACTTTATTATATGATTCTCTCTTTCACTAGTTTTATTGTGTTTTTTATACGAGGTTTTTACATTCTTGTTAAGCCGCCTTGCGTCGCCATGTGCGAATAGGTGGAAATATAAATTTCCTAAACAAAAAATAAATAAATAGTTGTAAAAAGTTGAGGTTTGATGCTACTGTCCTATTCTACTGCACCAGAGGGAATCGGAAGTCAATGCCTTTTCTTTTTTCCCCCTTTTCTTTCCCTCCCTTTTTTTTCCCTTACTAATCGCTTTTGTATTTTATATTTATAAACTAATAAAACGGTAAAAAGGGATCTCGTTATGCTTGTGGGCAAAACCTTGGGGTGGGCCCTGACGGAAAGTACCAGAAAAAAAAGCCCGGATCATTGGTGTCAGTGAGCGTGTGTGTGTGTGCGTGCGTGCGTGTGTCTTTCTGCTCCTCACAAACAAACAGGAAATCAGACATGGAGTCACCTGTGGTGAAGCGCCTGTCCTTCTTACTGTAGAAATCTCGATACGATGAGATTACAACAGGGATGAGAGGAACCTTGTGAGAAGAGAAAAGAAAGTAAACAGAGAGAGCTGTGGCAGCTGGAAATTGCCCTACTTATGTCGGCCATTTGGGCCCCTGAAACAGAGAGGGGTGGTGACTAGCAACCACCGGCCGCCATTAACGGCGGAAAACCACCTCCAAATCTCTTTGCATTTTTAATGCACACCCAGCTCTTCAAAAAACATTTCTAAAGACATTGTCTCTGTCTGCCTATTTTGCCAGAGTTCAAGCTTCTTATTTTATTGCTCAATTGTAAACATGTTTATAACACAGCTTATTGTGATAGAACTCAGGGTGTGATGCAACTATTTTTTTAAAAAAAAAAACACACACACAATGTAATTTCTAGGAGCTTAAGTTCCTGTAAAAAAAATTTTTTAAAGGAAAGCAATGCAGACAGGGTTTTTTTTCCCCTCCATTCTGAACCTAATTTAGGGCAAAACTTTCTTTAACATGATACGCAGTTGTTTTTTAAACGAGCGTATCAGATCAAGCAAATCTGCTTTTGGAGTCCTTGATACGTAGCCGGTTAACAAAACGGTTGGGGAGCAAACAACTAAGTTCAGGGTTCTCACCTCTCTCACACCCACAGATATGATCTGCAAATATTCTCTCCTGTCAGTACCGCTTAGGGGTATGAAACACTTCACAAATCTGCTTTTGTCCAGTTTATTTTAGCTCTGTTATAAACGGGAGGAATATAGGGTGCGAAAACCCTCCTTTCCTAGGTCACAGTAATGCTATTTTACTCTATGGTGTCATCTGCTACTGTCTACCACTGACTTTTATTAAATATCTACTCCCTTTTCACCTCATTTGGGAATTCCAGCTCTAAAGTTTGCATTCAGGGTAAAACTGACTTTTTTTAAAAAAAAGAAAAGAAAATGAGGATTAAAATTCTCCCCATACTAAGAATTTTAAAAAACCATTTCTCTGGTGGGCTTCTAGTGGCAGGGACATCCTTTTCTATAGGGCCACCCTGAATGAGGACTGATGTCTATGGAGATTCTCAGTCATCCAAGTCAAGGTGTTTTTTACAAGAGGAAACCGGACTGTCTGTTTTTTCTTTGAAGACGTTTCGCTTCTCATCCGAGGAGCTTCTTCAGAGCTCAGACCTGAGGAAGCTCCTCGGATGTGAAGCGAAACACCTTCAAAAAGAAAAACCAGAAAGTCCAACTGCCGCTTGTAAAAGCATTTTTGGGACTAAATGAGGACAGATTTACAGTGCCTCTCCACCCCACCCCTTTCTCACACATACACAGAGTTGCAGCTACTAAATCCTCAATTCTTGCTCTGAGCTTGCCAAAGTCTGACTAACCAGGATCATCAATGCAATAGTCGGGTGGGCCACAGAACAGGTTTAACCAATGGTGGGGTTCAAAATTTTTTTACTGTCGGTTCTGTGGGGGTGGCTTGGTGGTGATGGCAGGGGAAGGATACTGTAAAATCTCCAGTCAGAGGTGGTATTTGCCGGTTCTCCAAAATACTCAAAATTTCCACTACCAGTTCTCCAGAACTGGTCAGAACCTGCTGAATATCCACCTCTGGGTTTAACCCAGTTAACCAAATACAATGTATTCAATCAAACACAACGCTTGTGTTGACCTAATATTCAACAATCCAAAGGCTCGGTGAGATAGTCTGGTTCATACCGTGGGCTCAAGTAACCCTGAACCTCCAAACTCCCCACTCTACCTGGGTGCATCTGGCAAAGAGCCGCCAGCCGTCCCTTAGGGAGGAGGGGGGGAGGAAGTGAGTCAAAAGAGCCCCCCCTTACCTGGGTTTGCACTGCCAAATGGAAGGCGCCCCGTTTGAAGGGCAGCATGGAGCCGTTGTGATTCCTGGTGCCCTCAGGAAACACCCAGACCCGAACCTGCAAAGGGAGTCCAAGGAAAGGAAGAATTAAGACCCTTCCATGAAGACGCGCCAAGGTTAAGCAAAGAATCCATTGAGAAATGGGTGATCAGCCCTTCAAGGCAGTCCAACGCCAACCAGGACTATCAACACTACCCTTATTGTAAAGTTACGGTAACACAATCTTGCAAGCTCTTGCAAGATTGTGTTACCATATGATTCTTGACTCTTGACGAATGTATCTTTTCTTTTATGTATACTTGAGTATTTACACCAAGACAAATTCCTTGTGTGTCCAATCACACTTGGCCAATAAAGAATTCTATTCTGTTCTGTTCTATTCTATTCTCTTTCCCCTTCCTTCATTTTACTTTTGCAAAAACTAGGGAGGGCCTAGCTACTCAGATATTTAGTATTTATTTGATTTATCAATAGCTTACATGAGATAGATACTTATAAGAAAAATAAAAAACAATAGGACAGGGATGGTAGGCACGATTGGTGCGCATATGCACGCCCCCTACAGGCCTCTTAGGAATAAAAAAATGTTTATTAGAGAGTAGGTTATTTGTCTCTAATTGGAGGATAATGGATTGGTTAAGAATTTATTCCATGACTTTGCAGGTGACGCAGCATAAGGAGATTGGTCTGTAATTTTCAACTAGGCTGGGGTCTCCCTTTTTGAAGATGGGGATGACCGTGGCTTGTGACCATAATTTGGCAAGGAGCTGGTCCTGAAAGATTTTTCAAAGATTATGCTTAGAGGTTCGGCTATGGCAGTGGATAGCTTTTTTAAGAAGTAGGCACATATTCCATCCGGTCCAATAGATAGAGATGGTTTTAGATTGCACAGTGCTTTTTCAACAATGTCTTCTGTAAAATCAATATGTATTAGATCATTGTAGTTGTCTGTGGTTCCACTAGGAAGTACTGGACTTGATCCATTGCTGTTTACAAATACTGAGCCAAAGAATGTGTTAAAGAGGTTTGCTTTGATGATGCTGTCGTTGCAGTCTTTGCCATTTGGTCCTTTCAGGGGTGGGATGGACCTTGAGTCTTTGTTGTTTACAAAATTGTAGAAAGCACGGGTGGAATTTGTGTGTAGAAGGTTTTCCTCGTTTAATGTGATAATTAGTGCATTCAGTTTTTATCTGGTGACATAGATTTTTGTATCAGCTTTTGAAGTTGGCAACGTGACCAGATTTGTTTTTTTGCCAAAGTAATCTCTTTTTGGATTGAAGCTTCCCTATTGTTATGGGTTGTCTGTTTTTCCTGGTTTTGGGAGTTGTTATTGGTACATATAGTTTGATGGCTCTTTTGATTTCTAGTAAGAATATGTTGTAATGGTCTTCAACAGTATTGCATCCAGTGAACAGAAATTGCCAATCAAGGGAAGAGTGATAGTTGATTATAAGATCATAGTTGACTTTTTTGAAGTTATAATTGGGGATTTTGTCATCGTGATGATTTTTGTGTGGACATATGTTGAGACAAAAGTCAATCATGTTGTGGTCACTGTTGGAAAAGGGTTATTTAATTTGTATTCCGTAAATTGAATTCAAACTATTGCAGAAGATGAGATAGAGGCAGTTGTTAAGCCTAGTATTGTTGGTTACTAGTTGTTCCAGTCCCAGACTTGTTACAGCATTGTAGAAGGTTGCATGTATGGGTTCAGTTGTACATTCGTTTAGGGTCCAGTTCATATGAGGTAGATTGAAGTCACCAAAAAAGATGTGTGTGCTGCCCATGTTAGTAATGTATTTAGCTTTACATATTCGATGTCATAATCAGGGGCTCTGTAACATAGTAAGAACCGAAATGTGATATTTAAGGTCAGTTCACAGATAATGGTCTCAGGAAGAGCAAGCTCTTGGGTAACTTGGATGTTTTTTAGATGTAAGGACTTTTTATAGAAGATAGCAACACCACCTCCTCTACAGATTTCACGATCGGATCGGTAAACATGATACTCTCTTACTGAGGTAATGGAGTCAGGGAGAGATGCGTTGAGCCATGTTTCACAGACAAATGTGATGTTGAATTTAGCTGTATTTCATAAGAGGAGAAATTCAGGTATTTTATTTACAAGGCTTCTTGCATTGAGTAGCTTGCATTTAAGGCCAGTTGTAGTCTGAATTGAGGTAGTTGGGGGCGTGCGTGCCTAGTCTTGGCTTTTTCGGCTGCTGCTGCACACTGCTTAGCAGTGCAGTTGTAACCTGAATCTAAACCAGGGATCTCCAAACTTGACAGCTTTAAGACTTGTGGACTTCAACTCCCAGAATTCCTCCTCCAGCCATGTTAGCTCAGGAATTCTGGGAGTTGAAGTCCACAAGTCTTAAACTTGCCAAGTTTGAAGACCCTTGGTCTAAACCGTTTAATAACTCTTCAGAGTTACAATGGCAATGAAAAAAGGTGACTTATGACTGTTTTCACACTTATGACCCCACAGTCATGTGATCAAAATTCAGAGGCTTGGCAACTGACTCCTATTTATGATGGTTCCGGTGTCCCAGGGGCATCCAATCAATTTCTGTGACCTTCTGAAAGTCATTTTTTAAAAATTTATTTAATGTATTGGCATTTATAGAGGCGATGCAATCTCTGATGTACAAATTTAGTTTAAATAAAGCATCAGCTAATATGTTAGGTATGTATGTATACAGTAAAAGATATGGAGACAATAAATAATGGAGCTAAAAGTATTAGATTAAGATAAGAACCATAATAAAATCATAATGCGGAGCTGTAAAATTTGCAATGGGATAGAGGTTATGATTCGGTATCTAAGGAAGATATCCATCTAAACTGCTCCTGGTGTGGCTGTGGTGAGGTCATCCTCCCAGGTGCCTTCAAATTTCCTGAGGAGACACTCCAGAAACGATACATGTTCTGGTTTGTTCTGGTGCGCCTCAGTTGCACTGCGGGCTCTCAGACAATGGGGAAGCCAGATCCCCTTACATAACAGCCGTGTTACTAACTTGGCAACTGCAGTGATTCATGTAACAATTGTGGCAAGAGAAGTTGTAAAAACGGGGCAAAACTCACTTAAGGACCGCCACACTTAAGCAACAGGGGCTCGATGGTAGTCATTAAGTCAATGACTACCTAATATGATGCTCCGCAGAAGAGTAGGCTGAAGGGAGACGTCAGTTATTTGAAGAGGTCAAATGGAGGACCAAACGGACAAAGCGTTGAAAAATCCTGAGGAACGCATTTCAGTTTTAACTTTTTGGGAGGAATTTCCAAGGGAGCCAGAAGTGGAATTGTTGTAAGTTGAGGACCATCTGCATTCAGCCTAAAACTGAGTGGATCTACCAGGCAAATCCACTCAGTTCAAAGAGATGTAATCCAGTGTTTTTCAACCCTGGCCACTTCAAGATGTGTGGACTTCAACTCCCAGAATTCCTCAGCCAGCACGGGGAACTACATCTGGCCTTTCCTCCAAGGATTCCAGCCGGGTTACATGGCAAATTTACTTTAACCATACGACGGCACCCCTATGGGGCAGGCAGGAAAGAGAAGGACTTATGTGACTGACGGGGGAGACTAGAAGCTGGTCTGAGTCTCATCCAGCACTTCGCTGCTGCCCCACTTTGGCTGTGGGGCTGAGAGGGAGGGACTGGCCTAAAACCCACCAGTTGTGTCCAGGGGATAGGGGAGGGCAGTGGGGTGAGTCAGAAGGTGGATGTTCTTGACCTCATTTCAACATATCCACTACAGGTGCTCCTCAACATACGACCACAATTAAGTCCTAAACTTCCACTGCTAAGTGAGACGAAGAGACAGCTGCTGTGGCCCGTCAGTGGCCCGCCAGACTTGGACAGTGAGGAGGTTGGGGAAGAACTTGGGACCAGTCCTGGAGTCTGGGGAAAGCTCTGATGGGTGCTCTGCGTCGGAGGCAGAGAGGGGGCCAGGGCCGTCCGACATTTATCAGCTGCCTTTGGAGTTGGAGATAAGTGGGGAAGAAGAACAGCTGGAGCCTGTTCCAGATGCGGGCATGTGCAGAGCTGTCAGGGGAAGGGAACAACTAAGGAACAGGGGTCGACTCGAAAGAAAAGGTACAAGGGGACGCTGAATGGTCCCCCCCATAAGGAATAAGTAGGAGCAAAAGGGGAGGGGTGTTTGCAGGAGACCATTAGTTCGCTTACTATTGTAAAGATTTGCTTATCTGAGTTCGCGCCTCAACAGAGACTTCCTTGCCAAGTATTTCCTTTTACAGCCTTGCGACTAGAAGCTCTCTGCCTGGCAACTATCCAAGGACTGATAAGGTCTGCTCTTGCACTTAAACCTGGGAAGGGTTATTGCCGGGACTTTTCTGGGTGTGTGAATGCCAGGAATTCACATTAACCAAATAAAAAAGGGCTTTTATTTTTTCCCCGGGACAAGGGAGTCTGTTTCGTGATTCTGTTCAGCCTGGGTCAGAAAACAAGTTTGTTCCATTTTAGGGGCTTGCTCCAGTTAAATGAATCACTGCAGTTGTTAAGTTGATAGCACCGTTGTTAAGTGGATCTGGCTTCCCCGTTGACTTTGCTTATCGGAAGGTCACAAAAGGGGATCACCACAAGCCTGGGACACTGTAGCTGTCATAAATATGAACCCACTGCCAAGTGTCCACATTTTGTCATGTGACCGTGGGAATGCTGTGGTGGTCGCAAGTGTGAAAAACGTCCATAAATCACTGTTTTTTTCCCCCCGGTGCCATTGTTAACTTTGAACAGTGACCGAACCAAGGGTTGTAAGTTGAAGACCACCTGTGCACAAAACACACCAGTAATTCACATTCTCAGTAGGGAGGAAAAGCCCGCCAGCCCTTCTAAGAATTTGGCAAAGTGTCTCAAACTCACAACCAGAATAAGAGCTGGAAGGGACCTTGGGAGGTCTTCTAGTCCAGGGGACCCTGTACCATTTTGGGGCAAGTGGCTGTCCAGTCCCTTCTTAAAAACCTCCCGCGATGAAGCAACCACGTCTGAAGGCAAAGATCTTCCACGGGTTAATTGTCCTCAATGTCAGGAATCTTAATCCTTAATCCCTTCTCTCTCCTTGATCAGTTTCCATCCATGGTTTCTTGTGCTGCCCCTCTGGTGCTTTGGAGAGTAATTGGACCCCCTCCTCTTTGTGGCAGCCCCTCAAATACTGGAATACTGCTATTATGTCCCGTCCCGATGTCCTTCTCTTCACTAGACCGGCCATACCCACTTCCTGCAACCGTTCTTCTCACGTTTTAATCTCCAGGCCTTTTAATCGTCTTAGTTGCTCTTCTTGGCTACGTTTTTCCAGTCCCTCGTTCCCCATTCCGCCATTCTCCCAATCCCCTTTTCCCAGGTTCAATGTCATCTGCATATGACAGTGGTGGGTAACCTCTGGGGGCAATAATGGCACACGCGCTTGCCTGCTCATGCTTTGCGTGCCATCACCCGGAAGGCGACGCGCGGCGCGCCCCCCCCCCATGCCTCCTGCGCATGCACACAACCTGCACAACCCATGCTGCGTGCTTCTGCGCATGCACAGCTGTTAGGCACACGCGGCGCACAGTATGCACAATAGACCTTTTCTGGGCGAATACTTGCGTGCCGGTAGTAATGGCTCTGCGGGCCACTTCCGGCATGCATGCCATAGGTTCGCCTTCATGGCTATATGGCAGGGGTGGGCAAACTTTTTGGCTTGGGGGCCTCATTGACTTTTAAAATTTGACAGACGGGCCGCCACCTGGTGTCGAAATGCCTGTCATTACAAGTCAAAATCGAATGAATGCAATCATTCAATCATTCACATCAAACCTTAATTCTGTACCAATCTTCGGCGGGCCGGATTCAAAAGACCAACGGGCCGGATGTGGCCCTCGGGCCGTAGTTTTGCCCAACCCTGCTATATGGCATCACCCTAGCCGAGACGCAACTCCATCCCACCAGCCTCCTTCCTCCAAATTTCATCACAGTTCTGCAACCCCCATTCAAAAACAAACAAAAAAAAACCACACAAAAACACAACCGCCCTCACATCTTGGCTCAGCATAGTTTGGGCGGCCTCAGACATGACGCTGATGGCATCGTTGGTTTTCTTGCGGTTGATAAAAATGATGCCTCCCAGCCAGCAGGCCAACCCCACCGTGCCCATGTACATCAGCTCCTTTTTGGCAATTGGCACACACCGGTCTGGCAACACCTCCATTAAACCTGTGGAGGGGAAAGGGGAAAAAAAAAAAGGATTAGCTATGCTGCGCTAGAAGTCATAGACCGGGGTAGGCAAAATGGCCACTTTAAGACCTGTGGACTTCAACTCCCAGAATTCCTGAGCCAGCACGTTCATAAAGGTGCCATAGTTGTTCGTCCCTGAACCAGACGGCCATGGCTTCAAGTGAAGGAGCCACAGAGAGAGACAGAATACAGGTAGTCCTCGACTTACCACAGTTTGTTTAGTGACCATTCAAAGTCACAGCGGCCCTGAAAAAATGTGACTGATGACTGTTTTTCATAGTTACGACCTTTTTAGCATCCATTTTAGTGGTCAGGGGATCAAAATCCGGACGCTTGGAAACTGGTTCATACTTACGACGGGGTTGCACCCGGCCTGGGATCAGGGGACCGCCTTGGGTGACCTTCTGACGAACAGAGTCGATGGGGAAGCCAGATTCACTTAACCACTGGGTAACTCATGTATTCAACTGCAGTGATTCGCTTAACAACCGCAGCGAGACACGTCGTGAAAGGGGGGCAAAACTCCCTTAACAAACGGCAATATAAATTGTGGGCTCCATTGTGGTCGTATGTCAAGGACTACCCGTGTATCTTTTTAAAAAAAATTACCTAGATTAATTTAAATTCAATTCTCAACTTCTCAAGAAGTGGAGGCTGTTAGGAATATAAGTCACCTATCAGCTATTTGGGTTGGACAATATATAAACCAGGATAGACATTTTAATACTCTCTCTTTAAGAGAATCCTAAAAGTGTAATTGGGTGTGGTTTCTCAAACGGCCATAAGATGGAGCCAGAAACCTGGGTTGTTTAGTCTTAGTCTCAAAAGAGAGTGTGTCTGTTTCCTTCTGTTGGAGAGTATTGCTGTTCCTCCATTTTTCCTAATTGACTGCTATTTCTGGATTTAATGTAAGTCTGATACTGAACTGTTTTTGACACTGGACTTTGATATTTGGATTATCCCTGGATAGAAAAACTGACTGATTTACCTGTGAATGACTTTGGACTGCCAATTTTGAACTTTGCTTACACGTTTCTGGAAGTAAAAAACCTATATTTACTGTACAGTGTATCTGTATGCTGTGTGTATATTATTCAAACACTTCTCTCAAATATGTCTCCCTGTATGCGCTCATTCTCCTAACGGGGAATTACCTCAACAGAGAGAGGCAAACCAACTTTTCATTAACTAATGCTTATTAGAGGAGTTGTAAGCAAAAGAGACAGCATGAAAAATGCCAGACTATCTATCTATCTATCTATCTATCTATCTATCTATCTATCTATCTATCATCTATCTATCATCTGTCTATCTATCTTCTATCATCTGTCTATCTATCTATCTATCTATCTATCTATCTATCTATCTATCTATCTATCTATCATCTGTCTATCATCTATCCTAGATAGATCAAGTATCTATCATCTATCAATCTATCTGTCTGTCTATCAATCATCTATCTATCTATCAATCAATCATCTCTCTCTCTCTATCAATCATCTGCCTGCCTGCTTAGCTCCCTCTGCCCGTCTCTCCTGTCTCTGTTTCTCTCTCTCTCTCTCTCTCTCTCCTATCTGTTATCTTTCTGTCATTTCTCTACCATCTATCAATTTATCCATCTATCATCTCTCCATCTCTGTATCCATCCATCCATTCAATTTCTTTGCTGCCCATCTTGCAATGCAACGACTCGGGGCAACTTCCACCTGCAAACTACATTGCAGCATCTACTTAAAAAAAAAAAAAACCCCACTAGCAACAACAAACGAACTGGTAGAGCCCAGATCAACTCCTTAGCTCCTTCCCATCCTCCCCACCTTCCTCCGGTCCTACCAAGCAAGTCAAGGGAGCTCTGGTGGTTGGATACCACCACGTAGGGCTCCTTGATGTTGAAGTTCTCGATCCCCCGCACGTCGATCTTGATTCCATAGAGATATTTTATGTGAAGCAACATGAATTGTAATATCCTGGAAGGGTAAGGAAGAGAGAAAGCATATCAGATTGGAACTTAACAACATTTAATCGTGAACATACACTTGACAACATTTAAGCCCATACACCAGCTTTTGGGAACATGGCGGTCCCTCCGAACGCCCAGAGGCTGCCTTTCACCACCAACGTGTGGAGAACAGCAACTTCACCGTATGTGGAGGGCTGGTATGGATTGAGTTCGAAGAGGGATCTGCAGACTTGGCAGCTTTAAGACTTGTGGAAGCTGGCTGGGGAATTCTGGGAGTTGAAGTCCACAAGCTGGAAAGCTGCGAAGTGTGCAGACACCTGAACGAAATACCCTGCCAAAAGCAAACTTCAACATTTTTCCAAAAAGGAAGGAGGAAAACCATGCACACACACACACACCCCAAAGATGAAATTGTTGCTCCCGAGTATTCCCACCGAGCTTCACCAAAGTAGGAAAAGCTGGCTTGGGAACAGGTTTAACTGGAAGACACAATTGTTTCAAAGGGCTTGTGCCTGAATTTAGATGTGATCTTCTTCCCACCCACCCCAATTTTATTGCTTCAATTTTGTTGTGGTGGCGTTGCTGTTTCACCTTTGGGTATTTCTATTTTCTTTTCCCAAAGGACTTGTATTCTTATATGGACTGCGCCAGCAGAGGCTAAACCAATTTCATTGTATACATGATGTACAATGACAAGAAAGGCTTTAAACTTTGACATTCAAAAGGCAACTGGGTTTTTTTGGGGTGGGGGGTGGGCTGTCTGTTTTTCCTTAAAGACGTTTCCCTTCTCATCCAAGAAGCTTCTTCAGTTCAAGTTTCCTTCTTTTCAAGGAAAAAAAAAACCCCAAAAGCCCTTCATGGCTTGGAACCGGGTTATCTGAGGGAACATCACTTGCCGGTCACACCTACCCGACCCATCAGAGCAGGGAGGCAGGGAATGTGGCGGGTCCCACCCCTGAGGGAGATACACCTGGTGGGACCCAGAAGAAGGGCCTTCTCCGTGGTGGCTCCGTCTCTCTGGAACATCCTTCCCCCAGAGATTAGAATGGCCCCCTCACTAATACTCTTCCGGAAGGCACTGAAGACCTGCTTCTGCCAGAGGGCCTGGAGAACCCAGAGCAGGATGGAGCCCATCAAACGGCTCGTGTGATCTGCTGGCGTTGGGGCGCGGAGTGGAAGTTGGAGGGTGATTTATTGATTCCCAGATTTTGTTCTATTGTACTTTATTAATTTATTTGATTCTTTTTGTTAGTTTTCATTGTTTTTTTGTTTTTTTTATCTATTTTAAATATGGTTTTACATTGAGTCGCCATGGATGAATAGGTAGCAATATAAATTCAATAAATAAATTGCCTTTTGAAAAAGCAACACCTTCTGTTAAAAAAGGACATATGTCAAAATTGAACATGCTCTCTCTCAACAGAGGGAGAGGAAGAGGACATAATCTACCTCCAGTCTGCAACACAATCCTTTCAGCAGGTCCAAGAAGGCTCCACACCCATTTGTATCACTCAGGTGACCCTGAGGACACAGATAAACCTCCAGGTGGCCTCAACAGCTCGCTAAAAGGGTGCAAATGACCAGCTGTCTGCAAGGAATATAAATCCTTCCGTTCTCCACCATCCAGCCAGAGCTGAAGAAGCGTCTGGGATGAGAAGTGAAACATCTTGAAAGAAAACCAAAAAAGTCCAAATTTTTTTTAAAAAAAACACCTTTGGGGAAAAAAGCACCTTTGGGATCACCGTGACTTGGGTGACTGAGGATCTCCGTAGATATATATATGACCATGGATATTCAACATAATTCTACTTATATTCTAGTATTTCCTATTTTCTTACTTATATTCTAGTTTAAGTCACCAAGAGTGATTGTGATCGCAATGGGGAAGAAATATTAGAAAGAAAATAAAGATATAATGTGGTTGGTTGGTTTGCGGCTTACCACGATACCGTTCACTAATACCAGCTCGTAAAACAAACTTGGCAGCCTGCAGTGTCATGAACTCATCCCAACAGTGATTTATTCAAGAAATGATGAGCCAGCAATGTAAAACTCTAAACCAGACGCTCCAACGCGCAAAATAGTCTTTCTGAAACAGGGCAAAGCACAATCACTCTCCCTTCAAGCCTGTTCTTTTCCCCGCCTTTCCATTTCAAGGAGACATTGGACGTCTCCTCTTAAAAACAGATTCCCAGCAACAAGCAGGCCTCAAGGCCAGATACAGTCTCCTTTTCCCTGTTTGGATTCCATGGAGCATTCTGTATTGGTCAGGATCCCATCCAAACAAGCAATTTGTGGACCTTGACAACAGGCGACAAGATGGTTAAGGGCAGTTAAACTGGCAAACCCCATTTTTTGGGGGGGACGCTCCCCTGTCTACAGAAAGCATACACAACAAAGGTTCCTCAACCTTGTTCCACTTTGAATATGTGTGGACTTCAACTCCCAGAATTCCCCAGCCAGCCATGCTGGGGAATTCTGGGAGATGAAGTCCACACTTATTCAAAGTTAAGGACAATCCTTGGTTTTCCCACAGGATGAGCGGAGTTAAACTACATTTCCCATTTTATACCAGCTAAGCTAGCTGAAGATGGGATCTGTAATCCAATAGGCAATAAGGGCATCCCTGTTATCTAACCAGCTGCGATCGGACATAGGCCTAAGTCCGATGAAGGCTTTCTCCTAGTCCAGGGGTCTGCAACCTTAAACACACAAAGAGCCATTTGGACCCGTTTCCTAAAGAAAAAAAAAACATTGGGAGACAATAATTTAACAGCCACTATGACTGGGTGGGCGTGGCCAACTCAATGTCATTCACTCCCACCCAGTTACCTCCTGCTCTGCAATATGGAGCGAGTATCCATCCTCCGCCATCACCCTTACCTTCTAAGGCCATGCGAGGAGTGACGGGGAGGGGAGGGGCCAGTCAGTGGTGGGATCAGCCAACGGAGGCACAGCAGAGGGCTGAAAGAGCCGCATGTGGCTCCAGAGCCGCAGGTTGAAGACCCCTGTCCTAGCCCAAGAAGGGCAGACTACGAGCACAGTGGTTGCCAACCAGTGGGCTGGGGACCACTGGGGGTCCATGAGAAAATTTTGGTGGTCTGCAGAGAAATGTCACCCCCAAAGCAATTAATCTAGGCTGTGCAGGAACGCAAGGCTGTGCACATGGCCCTTGGGAATACAAGGCTTGCGTCACTTGCATTGCGAACAACACGAGGTAGTGAGGAGAGGGGGGAAAGGGCAGAGGGGGGAACTTGCCCCATTTGCCCCACACGCCTCGCCTGGCCAACCGGGCTGCTTCTTTCCACTTCTTTCTTCTTCTGCTTTTGGCTGCACGCAAGGAAAGTAACCAAAGTCTTTCTTTCTCTCCCCCAAACTCCGCCAGAAATGAGTCGTTGGGACCCTGCAAAGGCATCCTGCTCCAAGAGGCTGTGCTGGTGCGACAAGTTTCACAAAGACTCATTTCTGGCAGAGTTTGAGGGAGAGAAAGAAAGACTTCTGCTGCTTCTGCTGCTTTCCTTGCATGAAGCCAAAAGTCTTTCTCTCTCTCCCCCCGAAAACGGAGCTGGAGACGGTATTCTGTGATCCCAAATAAAAGAATGGTCGATCGGTAGGAAAACAGGGTGGGGAATTTTCCTGCAGACTTTTTGGGGGATTTTCCCAGGGTCTCTGGTCCGCGGGATTTAAAATTTGGTCCCTGAGGTCCAAAAGGTTGGCAACCCCTGCACTAGCACACACCTAAATCAGACTCACTTCATATTCTCCACGTTGCGCCCACGGACGGCACAAATCGGGATCGCAATGATAGCCAGGAAGAGGATGTAGCTGTTGTAGAACGTCATCTTACAGAAATACTTGAAAGTGGCACTCCATTCGTACAGAAGCGGGACGGCCACCAAGAAGAGGATGAGCAGCCACTGGCCCAGCGAGATCTCCATTTTCTCTGAAGAAAGAAGGAAGGAAGGAAGAAGCTGAGTTGACTTCTGACGCTTTCCTAGGAACCAGGAGTAAATCGAGCCTTGCAAACTATTTTGTTAACTCTTCCCCCTTAACCTTGTGCTCTTCAGAGGGAGGCCGTGTTGGCTGGAGACAATTGGTAGTTGTAGCTGTTAATACACCTGGAGGTCACCTGACCAGAAAAGCTATAGAGCAGTGATGGAGAACCTTTTTGTTATGGTGTGCCAAAAGCGTGCGCCGACACCCACAATACAATGCGCCCCGCCCCCCTGTGCATGCAACACCCCTGCCCCCTTACCTGCACGGCGCATGCGCATGGCTCCCAGCTGATTTTCGGCCCGTTTGAGGCCATTTTCGCCCTCCTGGAGGCTTGAGGAAAGCCTCTGGAGCCACAGGAGGCCGAAAAACAGGCATTCTGGAAATACCGGAAGTACCATTTTTCAGCCTCTGGAGGGCCTTCGGAGCCGGTTTGAGGCCATTTTCGCCCTCCTGGAGGCTTGAGGAAAGCCTCTGGAGCCGCAGGAGGCCGAAAAACAGGCATTCCAGAAATACCGGAAGTACCATTTTTCAGCCTCTGGAGGGCCTTCGGAGCCGGTATGAGGCTATTTTCACCCTCCCGGAAGCTCGAGAAAAGTCTCTGGAGCCTTGGGAGGCTGAAAATGGGCCTGTTTCAGAACTTCCGGAAGGCCCGTTTTTCGTCCTCCCGAGGATGCAGAGGCTTTTCTTGAGCCTCCAGGAGGGTGAAAACAGTTTCAAAAGGGCCAAAAATCAGCTGGGAGGTGTGCGCATGCGCAGTGCAGATAAGTTTGTCTGGGGCGTGCATGCCCGCACAAATGGTTCTGCATGCCACAGGTTCGGCATCACAGCTACAAAAGTTAGTCCTCAACTTGCAATAACTTCTGGAAGACCACTGAAAGATTCACTGAGTGTCCCTGAAGGTGCTTTCTTTCAAAAGGCAACGGCCTTTTTGGTTTGCTTGAAGACATTTCACTTCTTATTCAAGAAGCTTCTTCAGTTCTGCTGAATGGTGGAGAAGGGAAAGATTGATATTCCTTGCAGTCATCTGGTCCAATAGTGCAGGAGTATGAATGGATTTCCAGGAAAATGGCAGACTGCATGATTCAGGTGACCCTGAGGGCACAGAAAAAACCTCCCAGTGGCCTCAAATGACTCTCAGAAAGAGAACTAATGACCAGATGACTGCAAGGAATATAAATCTTTCCATTCTCCACCATTTCATCAGAACTGAACAAACTTCTTGGATGAAAAGCGAAACATCTTCAAGCAAAACAAGAAAGTTTAATTACCTTTTGAAAGAAAGCACCTTTGGGACATCCATGACATGGATGACTGAGAATCTCCATAGAGATTCACTGAATGCTTTCAGCAGCCTTGTAGCATCTGGTTACAACCCTTTTGCTCCAGGGCAATTTTGATCAACTTTAGCAACTTTTAAGTTGTATGGACTTCAATCCCCAGAATTCCTCAGCCATCATCATACTAGCTGAGGAATTCTGGTAGTTGAAGGCGACACCTCCTAAACTTGACAAAGTTGAAAAGTACACTTCTTTATAGAGAATTAGCTTCACTGTTGACTTGCTTTGACATTCAAACAAAATTTATTCTCCAGTAACTTAAAACCTACGCAAAGTTAGATGTCACTTTTGAGGTTAGGCAGCAAGGAACCCAGATACTTACCAATTCTATGGCTGCAACTTTTCCAGGAATTAATCTACCAACCTTGCTCAAAAGGCATGTTTTTTTTTAAAAAGCACAATCCCTCAGGGAGTTGTCAAGGCCCCAAAGTTAAAAACATTTTAGTCAAACTGCCTTTGATCTAATGTTTCTCTGCCGTTATTGATTTTTTTTCAATGCGTGAATCTAAATCCATGCCAAGAGGCCCCCTGCTGTCCCATGCAGATCGTAAGCAGAATTTCTGTTCTAGAACCTTCTGCAGCACACAGGACCTCTGCGATTAGGACCCACTGGCTTGTCTCTGCCCAGAATGACAAGTAATCCGCGTCTCTTGTCACCTTTGCCAACTCACAGCTGCCAAATCGCCGTAGGACACCAGATAACAAATAATCAGAGTTGAAAGGGACCTTGCGGTCCAACCCATTGCCCAAGCAGGGGACCCTACACCGTTTCTGACTGATGGCAGTCCAATCTCTTCTTGAAAGTCTCAAGTGATGGCACTCCCACAACTTCCGAGGGCAAAGCTGTTCCATTGGTTGATTGTTCTCCCTGTCAGAAAGTTTCTCCTTATTTCCAGGTTGAATCTCTCCTTGTTCAGTTTCCATCCATTATTCCTTGTCTGGCCTTCGGGTGCTTCAGAAAATAGCTTGACCCCTTCCTTTCTGTGGCAGCCCCTCAAATATTGGAAGACTGCTATCATGTCTCCCCTGGTCTTTCTCTTCACTCGACCAGCCATGCCCAGTTCCTGCAACCGTTCGTTGTATGTTTTAGTCTCCAAGTCCCCTAATCATCCTGGTTGTTCTTCTCTGTACTCTTTCTAGAGTCTCAACATCTTTTTTATAGTGTGGTGACCAAAACTGGATCCAGTACTCTAGGCACGGTCTTACTAAGGCTTTATAGAGTGATATTAGTACCTCACTTGATCTTGATTGTATCCCTCTGTTAATGCAACACCTGTACATAGCAACTGACCGTGGAGACAATTTGCCGTGGGCAGCTGAAGGAAGAGTCATGTAGGCACGTAGGTTAGTAGAGCGCAGAGCGCGTTGGGGCGGGTGGTGGGGAAATGTCTCAGCTGGGAGATTTCCATGTTCACACCCCTACCACTACTGCTGCCATGCTGAGCTTGGAGCACCTGCCGCCGCACCAGGCTTGAAGGCAACACAGCAGCACTGTGTGTGTGTCTATCTGTGTGAAAATGGGAAGGCCCTAGGTACCACCTCATTCCCACCGCTTGTCCCAACTGCCACCACTGCTGCTTCTTCCAGTCGGAGCCTGGAAGAATAATAAAAACAAGGACAAATAGGCTGAGAAACAGCTTCTATCCCAGGGCAGTAGCTCTTTTGACTTCTGCTGAATAGTGCAGTGTTGGTGTAGTGTCGGGGGTTTCCAGTTCAATGTGTGAAGGGTGAAGGATGTGTGTTTGTGTTTGTTTTCATGGTCATGATGTACACCAAAGATGGTGTTTGATTTCGTTGTACAAGGTGCAATGACAATAAACTAAACTAAACTAAACTAAACTAAACTAAACTAAACTAAACTA